GAACGAGATGTACTAAGGGGAAAAGGAAGCCTAGTCTGTTTAGCTAGAGGGCAAATAGAACAGTTATGAATAAAGTCTTGCTGCAGCTTAACAGTACTCAGAAATTACAATTTATTCATTTTTGAAAAAGTAGCATGTCCTAGCCTAGCATGACAAAGACAAGTTGCTGAACTAACAGAAGACATACAAGAACCACTATTAATTGAACACATTACATTGGATAAAGCAGGAACAAACAAACCAGACTCAGAGCAGGATGATTCAAAGAAATACAATCCTTTAGACTGCCTACCAATCCTCTTCATCTTTCCAGTGGAGAGGTCCTGAATAAGGCAAAAGTCAAGATAAAAGGTGAGAAAGCAATTAAGGTCACGAGTTAGCTTAGAAACATATAGTAAATTATGATAAAAATGAGGAACAAACAAGACATTCTCCAATTTACAGTCAGGGGTAAGAAAGTAAGAGCCAAGGTGAGTTACAGGAACTGTTTTACCATCAGGGAGGTGAATTAATCGTATAGGAGAAGCACACAACACAGGATAATCCAAGCTCTTAAAATCGGATAAAATGTGGTCTGTAGCCCCTGTGTCAATAATCCATTAAAGTGTATTATTAGTAAATGATGAATCAGAAGCCAAGATACCTGCAAGGTTGACAGCCGACTCAGCAGAAGGTGGCTTCTTCAGCAGCTGCAAAATTTGGTTATACTGCTCTTGAGTAAAAACCGGAGCAGAAGGAACAGAAACTTGAGGAGTTGCAGACACAGACGATATACTGGAATTAACAGAATCATTGGATACCACTTTCTTCTTTTGAAACTTATAATTTGGAGGAAATTCGATCAGCCTGTAGCACTGATCCCTCTTATGCCCCTTGATATTGCAATAGTCACACATGCCAGTAAAACGCATGCGGTTGGAAGAATTACCCGAATTGGAAAACAGAGCCATCGAGTCTGGCACAACAACTGTAGAAAGGTGGGAACGCTGCGACTCTTCTTGAAGTAACATGGAATATGCTTGATTAACCATTGGCAAAGGTTGCATAAGTAGGATTTGATTCTGAACCGCTGAGTAGGAATCATTCAAGCCCATCAAAAACTGAAATAATTTCTGCTGAACCAAGTGCCTCATATTCTGCTGAGATACTTCACACTCGTAAGCAGTGAACGGAATTAGGGATTCATACTCATCCCATAGCATTTTGAGACGAGTGAAAAATTCAGAAATCGTGGAATCCCCCTGGCTAAGCGTGACAATCTCACGGTGTAAAAAATAAATGCGCGATCCATCAATTTTGTCAAATCACTCTTGTAAATCCTTCCAAACTATAGTAGCGCTGGAAGAGAAGACAAGTCCAGCAGACAAATCCTTGCTGACTACATTGAGAATCCATGAAAGAACTACAACGTTGCACCGATCCCATTGTAATTACAAATTGCCGTCGTACGTACTTCGCTGACAGGATCCATCAACAAACCCTAGTTTGTTCTTTGCAAGCAGAGCGATTTTCATCGATCGACTCCACATACTGTAGTTAGCCAATCCAACTAATGGCTGAGAAACGAGCAGTAACCCCGGCATATCAGAGGGATGCATGTATAGAGGATGAGTGAAACCAATCATTTCCTTAGCAGGAGGCATCGTGAATCAAGAAAGGAGGAAAAAGACTTAGAGGAAAAAAGAAAATACCAGATAGGCCCAAAAAGAAAGTGAAACGCCCTGGAACGAGAAATGGATTGAGATTTTGGCTGATACCATGTTAAAACAGTAAAATTACTGAAATGCCTCTCTATCATTAATTTACTCCACTTACATCACTTATATAGCTTTACAGTAAAACTAACCACAATGCAACTGTCTAACAAACTCTAACTAATTCCTAATTGCTTCTTTATTCTTAACAGAAACTATCCTAGCTTCTCCTTAACTCCATTCTCCGCCCTCACTATCCAGTCCTCCGTAGTGGCGGATCCACAACTAATCGAAGTTGTATGTAACCATCTTAAAATTTATTTATTTTAAGTAAATTATGTATTTTATCACACCCATTTTAAAATTTTAATTTTATTTATCTTACTAAAAAATTTTGCATTGTAAATATACGTGTGTATGTTCTAAAAAGTAAGCAATTTATTTATTTTATCTTACCCACCTTTAAAATTTAATTGTGTTCATTTCATTCAAAAATTTTGTGTTATTAATATACATTTTCAAAAAAAATTAATATTTGAATTAGATGATAAAAACACATTTGGAACCGCTGAACACAAACCAGGCAAAACGTCAATATAATTATCAACTACTACCCAAAGAGTTGGCCTATCCCATCAAAATCAATTCTTTTTCCCCATGCACCATCCTATACAATCTACACACATACAAACCAACACATGAAGAATCCATGGCTTCACATAAAAATAAAAACCCAAAAAAGGAATCAAGAAATTAAAACTACCCATCTTTCCAAAAGGCAGGAAAATTCAACAAATTAAGAAAGTAAATGAAAGAATTAATCACATGATAATATAACAGAGGAAACATTCATATATTGTAACTTGACAGGTAAATTCTCTTCTAAAGAAAACTAGTTACTTCATATATGGTTACTAACAACACTTACAAAGATAATGATAGTTCTTTGCTGCAGATCAAAATCATACATTTAAACCTGAGAAGAAGAAAAAAAGAACGGAACTTGTGAACCATCTAGAAGGTCTGAACTTGTACAACTTCGAAAATCAATGGCTGTTTCTTTTCCTTTTGTTAGTCTCCCTGTCTGCTTTGGCTTTTGCATCTCTTATCCTTTTACTCCTTCGGCAACTCGGCGCTTCCTCCATCGATGCTTTCACTTTCTTAGGAAGACGATTGCTGTGTCGGCATGGTAAGTTTTCGGAGATCTTTAAATTGCTTTTGCGACAACTTTCTTCATTTTTTGCCTCCAAGGGATCTTCTTCATCAGACATCTTAGGGCTAAGTTCTTCTACAACTGTCTTGGATGATTGCATAGCTTGATCGTCTGGAACCACTACATTGTTAATTGGAGTCGGATCTTTTCTTTCTAACCCTAACATAGTATAGAATGATGTAACCACCTCCTCATCAGAATCTGATGAATAGCATAACCAGCTGGAGCTAGACGTATCGGATGAAACTATATAATGAGTGCATTCAAACGCAAACTTCTGCCATGGTTCCAAATCCTTGGAAAAACCATACCCTGTATCTCCTTCTTTTTGCTTTTCAAACGTTTCTTCGGAAGAAACATGGTTTTTTGGAAGACCATTGTCGATCGATGGAAATTGCGATTCTGAGACGGGGTTTCAAGCGGAGAAATCTTCAAATTAAGTTCAGGAATTTCCAAACAGAGAAATCTTTAGATGGAGTTTAGGGTTTCAAAACTAGCCCTTTTAATGAATTTCTTTGTCGGCAAGAAAGAGGAAACGTGATAAAATAGGAGGAAGAGAAAGTTTAGGCTATTAAGAGGCTTGTTTCGCAAGGGACCTGAGATGAGAATTAGGTCGCCAATTTTTATAGGAAATCTTAGACAACTTTATCTATTTAAACGGCTAACTAGGTTTAACTCCCTGGCCAGGGATTTTCAATTTTTTAAACTAATTTATCAATTTAAATAATATTACAAATTAATTTTAAACTAATATTTTATTATAAGTAACGATAATTTATTTAGTTTAAATTACAAGCAATTAATCCATTAATAAATATATTAACAACGGAATAGTTTATTCCAAGAAAAAAGAATTAAGAATTAAAGTTTTATACATATTTTAAATTTTTAATTAAAATGGAATATTTATAAAGTAGTGTATGTTCAAAAAGACTCTCAATCATTTGATAATAAACGCTCATATATTACATAAATGTCGTGTCTAAACTTGAACCTCAAAGAATAATTCATTTTAACCACTGAAATTGTTTAATCCACTAGAATCGTTTGGTTCATATATATATATATATATATATATATATATATATATATATTACCTTTACTTTGAATAAACTTCTAAAGTATACATTACCTATTATTAATTTCGTTCCTAAAATTTTCATTGCTAACTGATATTATTGTTACTCTTCAATTAAGATATTAGGTCTTGATAAGAGCTTTAATTTAATTACAAAAATAAAAAGAACTAAAGACTTTCATGTAAAATACAATAAACTCAAACGTAATTAATTAAAATAAATATATGGCTCAATATGATCCAAAATCGTTATAGTTGATAAAGGAAAGTTATATTCTAATTAAAAAGGTATCTATTTAATGAAATATTTTAAGATCGATTAAAATTTCTTAATTAATTCATTTTATCTAAATATAGGAAAATATTATATAAAAGATATTAAAAAATTAAACTATGTCATTATAATTTATATAAAATAAACTATTAATATGTAGAAAAGTAAAAGTGTAAAGATAAACATATTTTCTATGGTTATATACTAGAAAGAACTTTAATTGTATCATAATTGGAGTAGTATTAGGCTTCAAGCCTTAATATCCTCGTCCCTGCCTAATACACTTTGTTCGAATGAACTCTTATCCAATAAACAAATCTTATTTACCCTTAAATATTTAGTCGATAAAATATATTTATTATATTTTGAATAATTTGGTGTGATTACAGTATATATTATCTATTTAAAAAAAGTTAACCATTAATAATACATGCACTCTATAATCAGAACTGCTCAAATTTAAAACATTTAGAGAGGATAACCATTCGTCATAAAATATATTAAGATGTAGAACAGATTCATGATTAACACGACTGAAGCATTAATAGTATATGGTGAGTGTATAATAGCAATTTAATAATATAAAGTAGTTAAATATACATTAAAAATAACCAAAATGGAGTAATACGTATCATGATAAATGGCAATTAGCCCTGAAATAGCCTAAAACAGAAGGGGAAAAATATTAACCATAATGGGATTTATATTATTATTATTATTTGGTAATAATTGGGCGGTTGGCCTTATGGCTAATTTATTTAATCATCACCAGTCCTTTTTATTCATGCTCTGCTTGATCTTCTCTGCATTTTCTTTAATGATAGCTTCCTTTGAATCATCCGCCACACTGTCTTTAGGCTTTTGAGCTTTCTCTTTGGCCGAGTCGCATGAGTTTTTCGCCTTCGCTGCCATTTCCTTGGCCTTGTCCTTCACCTATTAATCAACATATATCATACACATATTTAAATATAAATATACCATTTTTTTAGATATATAAAAGAAATTCCTGCCAAACGTATTATTATCCAATTCCCTTGCTCCATTTTCTGCTTTCTATACCTTATCACTTGCATGGGCCTCCTACACCACAGGGGAAAAAGCATAATGAATATTCAAGCTAAATATTATAAAATTAAGGAGACGAGAAAGAGCGTTAATTACTTGAATAAATCTTGACCTCACTCTACCTCCAATATTGCCCATACCGATGAAATTCTTAGCTAGGTTTAACAATGACATTAGTTTAATCGTGTTCTCCCTGACTGGGATTTTATTTGAATTTTTTTGATGTCGCTTTCTCATTGCAAAGTGAGTATTTAAGGGAGGAAAATAGGAGAAGGATTGGTTCAAAAGGTATAAAGCGTACCCTATAATACAGGGTCATGTATACTTTTCGAACCATTCGTTCTCAAAAATTACTCTCCTACTATCATACTTCTTTATATACTAACTTGTTAAAAAACCAATTAAGTGGAACACCAAGCAAAGTTGATACAAGTAAAAATGACAACGTTAAAGCCGGTTAACAATACTTCGGGTATAGGTAATTTTGGAGGGGGTAGAGTTCCCAGGAATAGGCTTCTTCCACCTTCTTCCCCTGCATTTATTCGAGTAATTCTTTCTTTCTGTTTTGATCTTTAGCTTCTCGGTCGGCTTGGCTTGTCAAGTTTCGTTTGGTTGAAATATTTATATTATCATGTGGCGTAGGTGAGTTCAAATCACGAGGCTCAAGCATTTGATAATGCGAAGGAAACTATCAAGCATGGAGCTGATTATGTTGCAGACAATTTGAAAGATAACGCTGCTTCTACTGCTGACCAAGTAATTTGACAAGCATGGGTTTGATATCGTAGATATAATAGATGTTATTGTGATCGATTATCGTAAATGGTCGAGGATTGAAAATTATGCATGCATGGTAGGTGGACGAGAAGGCAAAGGGGATGACCGGGAAGGGGACCGGCGCGGTGCAAGGAACGCTGAGTGCGAAAGCCAAGCAGGTATGGGAGACGGCCATAGAGACTGCTCAAAAGGCTAAAGAAACCGTGCTTGGGAAGGCGAATGATTCAAAAGACTCCATTAAAGAGATAAAGCAAAGCGTGGACAACAACTGATTTTTCAATTCATTCTGAAATGTGCAGAAAAATAAAATTCGGGCTAAGGCCAACAATTCAATTATATTAGTTGTTTAACCTTATTCATTTTCTTGATTTTGAAGCCTTCAATCTTCGTTATTCTAATTATTGATCCTTGGGCACAACATAGCCTACAAAGGTTAACGGTTGTTTTGAAGATTGTTTTGCATTTATCACATTGTCTAATTCATTATTTAAAGTTATATTTTGACCCTATAATGAAAAAAGTAAGTTAAAATTAATGCAACAGTAAAATTACATGTTGAATTATATAAAAATTATAATTCAAATTCTACCTACAACAAAATATAATAATATAATGATTTTAGCATATATTGATAGTGTGAGATGAAACTGAAATAGTCAAAAGTTAAGGAATCAATTTAATATGAGGATCATAGTTTAGAGATAGAATTAGAATGTTTAAAAAATTGATGATTAATTTAGAATAAGAGTTTTGATCCAAGGAAAAAATTAAAATATTTAAAAGTTTGATTTTTTTTTGGCGGGGGGGGGGGGTTGTTTGTAAATGGTGATTCCATGGCAACAGTATAAAACGTTATCCACAGATTTAAGGTTCCCCTTCCCACAATCTAGTTCTTTTTGGTACATAAAAATAAATAAATAAAGTCTGAGAGTTGGAGGTTTTTTTTTTCTCTCGTATAAATCCCGTTGCCATCAGCAGCGGCGGCGGCCTAGTTTAGCATGGCTGCCATTCCAGCTTTTCCTCTTCTTCAGCTTCGTTTAACCAAACCCAAATTCACTGCTTCTTCTTTAAAACCTTATGTTATGTTTTAAGCTTCAGAATTATCCATTTCCTGCTTGCTTTTCTCCTTTTCTAAGTTTGGAGTCGTAAAATGTGGATCATCTTCTAATGGGAGAGAGCCGGACTCGATTGACGATGGTGTCAAACGTGTGGAAAGTTTACTTGAAGAGAAACGCCGAGGTGAGATTTCTGCCAGAATTGCTTCCGGAGAATTCACTGTTCAGTAAGCCGGGTATTTGTTTTTATGATTGAGATGCTTAATTAACTTTTAGATATCTTTTGCTTTATATGAAGGAAAAAAGGATGTTGACTTTTATTCCACTTAGTTTTTCAATTAAACGTGGTTAGAATAATATTGGATTTGGTATCCTTGTATTCTTTTGTTATCTTCCATGTCATGTTTGGTTTGCTTGGCTTATTCTGTTATTGTTTTTCTTTATTTCAACTAATTTGTTATTCTTATGTTTTTTTGATTCTGGGAACAAGTTTTCCTTCTCAATTGAAGAATGGTTTGTCGAAACTCGGTGTTCCTAGTGAGGTTCTAGAAATCTTATTTAAATGGGTTGATGATGTTGAAGATTATCCCAAAATTCCAGAGGCGAAAGGGGCGGTGAAGGCCATCCGCAGTGAGGCCCTCTTCACCCCTTTGTATGAGCTTTACCTCACTTATGGTGGGATTTTCAGGCTAACCTTTGGACCAAAGGTTTTTGTGTCCTTTTTCCTTTTGGCTTCAATTTTTTTTACTAGTCTATACCGTTGTCCGAGATAATTATGGATTTCTTGTTATGTTGCTGCAGTCGTTTTTGATTGTTTTTGATCCTTCCATTGCTAAGCATATATTGAGGGACAACTCAAAGTCTTATTCGAAGGTAAACCATGGTATACTACTTGCTTTTACTTGGATGGTCTAAGCTTTATTCAAATACAGAGGGATTGTCAGAACCGAAAAATACCTCTAAATGGGCCATTGTTGTATGTTGATGTTAAATAAAATCATTTGAAAATTTTAGTGGGGAAGTTAGCCGGTTTTATGCCGGAGTTGGAGTATTAAGCATGAGGCCCAAAATGAATAAAAATCCTGACGCTGATGACAATCACCTAGTAGGTCTCAGTTTTATTTTTTTTGTGCCCCTTTGTATTGTTTAAACTAGGTAAAATTTGGTAGAAATTTTTGTGGAACTCATTCTTAATTGACATATGCATGATGCGGTCTGGAAGTTTGGTAGAAATTTGGTACTCTACTCCTTTCTAATATACCAGTGTAAGGTAAAAGTTAAAACCATTGTGTGGATTAGTTGAATTGTTTGGCTTTTGTATGTTTTACATACTGGTATGCGTATCTCATGGCTAGGGGTGTAAAGACTCGAAAACTTTGAAATGAAGCTCGACTCGACTCGAAAACTCGCGAGTTTAAAATTTTCAAGCTCGACTCGAACTCGAAATCCTAAACTGAAGCTCGTGAGCAGCTCGAAAAGGCTCGAAATGAAAAAAAAAATTTATTAAACATAACTCGATTGAAGCCTCAAACTCGAACATGAACCTTAAATACAAGAAATCTTACTGTATTTTTTTATAAAAAAATTAATACATAAATATATTAATATTATTAATAATTTATTTCTAAAAAAATAAAATCTTAATATATTATATTTTCGAGCTGCTCACGAGCTTTTCGAGTCGAATATCGAGTAGCTCGTTTCGGCTCGTTAAGAACTCGAGTCGAGCTCGAGCTCGAGTCGAGTCCATTCGATCCGAGTATTTATCGAGCTTTGATCGAGTCAATCTCGAGTAGCTCGCGATCTGTCTCGTCTCATTTATAGCCCTACTCATGACTATTAATCTTTTCACGGACCTGATTAAATATTTCTTTTTGTTCTGCTTTAAATTAAAACTCTTCAATTTTCAGAGGATGGTAGAAGAAGAAGAGCTACAGTTTTATGAAGAGTACATGAATGAACAAGATCCTAGTATTCTCCACTTTCTTCTGGCTTCAGGGGATGACGTATGTATTAATAGTTATCAAATGTGTTGATTAGTTAGCTCATCGGGTATAACCGTACAAGATTTCCCCGAACCTTTTTGCAGGTATCTAGAAAACAACTCCGTGACGATTTAATGACATTGCTTATTGCTGGGCACGAAACGTCGGCTGCTGTTTTGACATTGACCTTCTATCTTTTATCAAAGGTAATTGAAGGATTTATTCTTTGGTAAAAAGGAGCTAATTCCCTCCCTTGAGAAGTTTGTGGTCTGCATATCTAAAAAAGCTTTCGGTACTCATTTCTGTACGTTTTATCATTAAATACTTTCTTGAACAGCTTTATGAAAAGAATATTTATCTTAACAAAGAATTAATGCAGAAACACACACACACACACAGACATAAGGATCCCATGGCTTGAGCTACTGGTCAACAGTCACTGGAGAGAACCCTTGTTCCATTACACGAATCATATTGAAGAACTCTATTTTTATCCAAATTCATTATAGTAAAAAGAATAAAATAACTCGGTCACTCCAACTTTGCTCATGAAAGAAATTGAGTTCAAGTCATACTCCTATAGTCAGGAAAAGTATATGATAATATTCCATCTGATAATGCACGTTTGTTTTATAATAATTTTATCCTCGATATTAATGTGTATACGAACTGATTATGCAGTAATCTCCCCTTCCTATCCTTTGTATTTGTGATTGATCATTTGATTGTACCCTTTGAATAAATAATATACCATCCAGCCTATTCCAAAATCTCTAGGTTTAGCAATAACAGTAAGCTTTTGAGTTAATGCCTGTGGGATTGCTTTCAGAGTGTGGCTAGTTGATGGTTGTTTCAGAGGAGAAGGGTTCTCCCTCAAATGAGTTATTATTCTTTCATACTTGAAACAAGTATCATGGTTGAATGACAACTCATGCCAAGTTATCATTAGTTCCTTTTCTCTGATGATTGCAGGAACCTAGTGTTGTAGCCAAGCTCCAGGACGAGGTATCTTCAAATTTTTTGAGCAATACTAATATTAAAGGGCTAGTCTAAGCTTTCACTTTATGCAACCTATCTATAATCTCATTTTCTTATTTACTACCGTATCAAACTTCCTAGGTTGACTGACTCTGTTCTAGGAGATCGACTTCCAACAATAGATGACATGAAAAAACTTGAGTACACAACTCGCGTTATTAATGAAGTAAGAGTAGTTCTATTTCCATTTCATGTTTCATAAAATATTTTTCCATTAATGCACCTTATATAGATATGATTCAGTCTATTTTTTGTACAATCTTTGAGGCTCTACCCACAGCCACCAGTCTTAATTCGGCGTTCTCTTGAGAATGATGCGCTTGGAGAGTACCCGATAAAAAGGTCTAAAATCAATATCATTACCTTCTTATCAGTCAGTTAGCATACACGGTTTAAAATCACTTTCTAGGCCTCTTTTTATTTGTATATTGCTGCCTTGTATTGAGATTCTTTATGTAAATTTTTATGGTATATTGACTTGACTACATGTACTTTTCCCTAATTCTTAACTTTGTCATATATTTTACATTTAGGGGTGAAGATATTTTTATCTCTGTTTGGAATCTGCATCGGAGTCCAAGTCTCTGGCAAGATGCAGAGAAGTTCAATCCCGAAAGATGGCCTTTAAATGGACCGAATCCTAATGAAACAAACCAAAATCTCTGGTAAGAAACATCTCTCTTTATCTCATCAATTATGTTTATAAATGAGATTGTCATAACGTCTTTTTTTAGAAACTTTATATTTTAAAAAAACAATTAAGACTTATTTAAAGAAAATAGGGATTTTGAATTAATTTGAATATTTTGAATAGGAATCGTCATCGACCTTTGGCTTATGTTAGTCGAATACCTAAAAACGTCTTTTAAAAACAAATTTAAGAAAAAAAAATTTAAGACAAAAATTGGTGTGTGTTATCAAAGATTCATTTTTTAGAATTCATGAGTCGATTACGCGTGGGTAACACCCTCACAACGTCCAAATTTAGTACCTAATTGCTTATACATTATCGTAAATGGTTGACATCGTAAATTCAAATCAATATTTAAAGTGTGATCCATTTATTGAACATTAATTAATTTATTTCAAATTAATCATTAGGAAACATTCTTTAATATGAGAAAAATTCACAGGATTTGCACATCCTCCAGTGGGAAGACTATCCC